TTTTTTTTAAGTCCTAGACATTCACATTATAGTTGGAATTATGTAGGCATATGGATTTTTTTTGGTGTGGATTAAAGTGGCATATGAATCATTGAAGAAACAATTTAACATTGTTTAAGCATAATATCTCTTTTAAAAATCTCCCAATTCTTCTTCTCTATTCAGTTTTTTTGGAGGTGATTTACATTTTTTTTTATTTGAAGTGTAATTTAAGAAGAGAAATATGATATGGGTTTTTGTTAATGTAAGTATATTATTTTCGTCTTTTAATTGGAGACATTCACACTAAAATTGAAATTATCAAGCATATGAATCTCTCTATTAATCTATCAATTCTTCCACACTATTCAGTTATAATTTTGTGGAGGCGATTTGCATTTTTGTTGATTTGAGGTGTCATTCAATAAGACAAATCATGGTATGAGTTTTTGCTTATGTAAGTATAGTATTTCGTCATTTAGTTGGAGAATTCACACTAAAGTTAGAATTATGTAAGCATATGATTTTTTTTGTATGGATAAAGTGACATATGAATCTTTGAAAAATAAAGTAACATTGTTTAGCATAATAATCTCTCTTAATCTCAATTCTTCTTCTTTATTCAATTTTTGTGGATGTGATTTATTTTTTTGTTGATTTGGGGCATCATTCAAGAAAACAAATATTATATGGGTTTTTGTTGATGTTGATCGGTCTATTGTGATTTTTTTTCTTCTTTAAAATCGAGCTTGAAAATTATTTTCTAATATTTTTAATTTTTAAAGAAGAAACCAAACATAATGAGGTGTTATCCTCTAAACATAGAAACCCATATTTTTTTTCTTAGATTTTTTATTTTTTAAAATATTGGATATATGTAAAAGACTTTTTCATCCTTATATTTAAAATAGGAAATTCATTAGGATAAGGTTGTTTTATCCAAGAATGAAAATAAAATGGTTGAAGGTTAAACTTTTTAAAATTAACAAAACAACGTTATCCTAATGAATTTAATGTTTTAAATATAGAGATGAAAAATTCAGGTTTACTACCATAATACTAATCTAGGTATTATTCTTCATTTCTATCACTTGAAGAAAAAAGGTTTGAAAAATGAATAATACATCAAGTGATTTGTTCTTTCATTTTATAAACTTTATTATTCAATAAGATCATTTTTCAGATTTTAACTTCAATAAATTTTTAAAAATTTTATTATCATCGCGCAACGCGCGATGTCAAACACTAGTTACTATTAATAAGGTAAAGGTAAAATAACATAAAATTCGAATTAAAATTAAAATCAAAATCATTTTCATTTTCATTTTATTCGATAAATACTAATAATCTCTTCTCCTTTTGACTTTTTCTCCTTTCACTTAACAGTATTTTAAATTCTCTTTATTCCAAATTAAATATTTATATTATTATTTTATTTTGTTTTAAAATAATTAGTGTTCATTTTTAAGGTTAAGTTTTGCTAAGAAAATGAAATTATTTTAAAATAAATAAAAAACCATATATGTTTTTCATTTATAAACATTAGTTTTAGAGCGAAGTTTATCATATATATATATTTCTTAAATTAGAAGGGTACTCGTACAATTCAGTGAAATATATATATCGATTTCAATGTTTCATTTTCTTTTTGTCTTTATCGATGTTATAATACGAATTTATGTGATTTTGAGCAAACAATAATACTTTTTCTAATAAAATATAAATTTTTAAGATATCATAAAAATTAAAAAATATATATAAAAAAGTTCTCACTTTTTTATGTAATTTTTTTAATTCAATTTTTTTATTATAATTTAATTTAAGTTTAATGATGAAATAATTTATTTTTTGTTCAATAATATATCTTTATAAAGATAATAACTAAGTAGGGTATATTTCAAATACAACTATGTCCATTTGTACAACCAATGCAACCCTATTAATTAAGATATTTATAGAAATAATAAAAGTTTATTTATTATGATATGAATATTTATGAAAGATGAATAAAATTCATTAATTATGATCAATACTTTATATTAGGAAATAATCAAAACTTCTATAAAATCACATATTCATCAAATTAAATGGACGGTTGAGATTGAATTGTATTGGTTGTACAAATGTAAAAGGTTGTATAATAACCAACCTCTAACTAAGTATTTTGTTAGAACTCAAGAATTATTCTAATTATATTTTAGATTTTAAAGTAAGAATTTTATAATGTATTTGATTATATGTATCTAGAGTTATTTATACGAAGTAAACATGAAACTTAATAAGTTATACTTATTCATAATTAACTTATAATCTTGAATTTTAAAAAATATACATCAATACATAATATTTTATATATAAAAAATAGTTTTTAAAAAGATTTTATTAAATACTTTATAATATATTATAGGTTCTTGTGTATATGGATTATTTTCTCTTTTATATGTTTGTTGAGGGTTATAATAATCAATGGCTTGTAATCATCTACCACGTGGCATCGTCTGCGGTCCACCAAAAGAAAGAAACGTGCAAATTCTTTAACGAAATATCGACGTCGTTATTTATCAAAACTAAAAGTTATTTACGTAGTAGACGAAATATTTTAGTTTATCTCGTACGGGTTGCCGCGGGAAACAACGGGGTGTTACTAACGGCGTTAAATCCGACCGAACGACATTTGACGGTAGACGGTGTTGAATTCGCCGGAACTGCAGACGCCGACGACATATTCGTCGGGGTGTAGCTCACCGTCCGTCGGTACGGACCGAACCACTTGTTCTGCATGAACCGGTTTTTTCTCCAGGGAGGGAGGAGTAATCCTCTACTCTTCAACGAACGTCTCGCGGCATCGCTCATCAACTTCACCATCTGTTTTAGATCTTCACTTTTGGCAACGAAAACCGTCGGAAGGATCTGCAATAGGCGGTCGAAATGATTGGTCTGTCTGGCGATCTCGAACTCTCCGGCGAAGTTGAGATCTATGTAGTAGCGAACGCCGGAATCAGATCGGACAACGTCGATAAACTCGTAATTACCGGCGGTAAGTCCGCCACATCCCTCCCACTTCGTCTTACAAATCGCCGCATTGTAACCAACATTTTGAAGAAATAACATTAAATTCCTATGGAGAATTTGTTTGTTAGGTCTCAAGGAGTGAAAAATCTCCATACCTTTCAAAACATTAGCCAACAACACACTTCTGAATCTATCAACATTTTGCTTCCTCAACATCGAAACCACAATTTCAACAATTGCATCCGTACGATCAGATTCACAATCCAAATCGGAATCCGAATCATATTCCTTACCGTCATCATCGGCGTCGCTATTACAACCTACACCACCACCTCCTCCTCCTTCTTCTCCTTCTGATTGCTCGAGAAAGCAATGAAGCAGATTCGAAAGATGAGGTGAAGACGATGAATCCTCATTACGTCCACCACTACCGGTGGCGCTGTGTTCGCTTCCACTGCTAACATACACCGGTTCTCTCCGATGACGGCCGACGATACTATCCTTCACACGGTCATCTAGCCGATCGGAAACCCGCTTTGTTCTAGCGAAAACCGCCATTTTGATGGGAAGAAAATTGTACTGGAAGTGTGTACTACAAAAAACAAAGAGGAATTTACTTAAAATTTATAGAAGAAAATTACAAAGGAATTTTACTCCGGAATATTCCGTTTTCAAAAATGGATTTTTATTAAAAAATAATATAATTTATTCAGATGACTCCATAATAAATCATCGTTATCTCGACAGTTCCTTTTTTAAAGTAGACTTTCAGGGACCGAGTTTGGAATGCATCAGGAGTTTGTACAGTACAAGTTCAGTAAGCATAAATTATGGTCTTCAACGGATTGGGGGCATATCCAGCGGAAGAAGGGTTTATTCCACCGGCAACGAATAATCGTTGAATTTTTAATAAATTTTCATCTTTTTTTTTTCCCATAAAAATTCTTTTTGATTTTAATTGGGTAAAATTCAATAATTTAATTTCTTCTTTATCTTAATTAATATGTATTTTATATAAATTTTAATCGGTAATCAATTGATTTTGTAACATATGATGATGTGGATGATAAATTTGATATCAACCTCATCAAATTTCAGAAGACAAACAAGTTATTGTTCAAAATGAGTAAAAAAAATTATGATAACATGAGATTTTGCCACATTAAATATAAAGTTTTGAAACTTTTATTATAGAGGTGTATAAAAATTCGTCAACCCGTGAAACCCTCCCAACCAAACTCGATAACAACTCAATTAAATGCAACTAGTTAAACCGTCAACTCCTCAATTAGGAGGGATGAAATTGCTTTAAACCTAGCTCAACCTGCCAACTCGTCAATCCGTTGCTAATATATATAATTTTTAATAAAATTATATGATATATATATGTTGGGTGTGTGTTTTTATTATATATCTTAATTATGTGTAAAATTTTATATAATGTATATTGATATTATGTTTGTATTTTATTTTAACTAAATATATAGTTCCCAGAAGATATTCACTGTTAAAGAATGATGACAAAGTATCCAATTAATAAGAGAAAATTATTGAAATTGTTTTTGCAGCAACAACAAATTGATAATGTCGGAGAATATGAATGATATTGATAGATATTTGGTTGACAAATCCATTAATCCAGAGACTCTGTCTTTTGATGTTGTACTTTGGTGGAAAGAAAATGCTTAGTTATAGCATTTCACTATAATAAACATTAGGTTTTATAGGTTGTCTAAACTGTCTAAGTGTCCTAATATGATTTTTTATAGAACGAAACAAAAAATGTTTTATCTAAAGGGTTACAATATGTTTGTAGGATGATTTTTGACATCTTAACCAATTTTTATGACGCTTATAAAATAAAATGTCCTGTTAGTTATTATATACAAAACCACTTGAAAATTTGTCATATGAACACAAGTGTCTTATAAATAAATGAGTTTACGTGACACTTATCAAAATGTTTCTATAAAATAACTAATACGACAATTTATTTAACAATCATTCTAAAAAACTTGTTGAAACGCCCAAAAATGTCCAATAAACCTATTCTAACATTTATAGATATGACGTTTTATAGTCTGATCCTATAAACTTAAGTTTTATGAAGTATTTCATTCACCAAATTTGTGGAACAACTAACCCGCCAACCCCACATGCCCCAACCCGCAAAAGTTGGTTTGCTTTGGGTTATACTTTGAAATGATCGGGTTGTAAAATTGTCGTAAACCGTCCAACCCAACCGGCATACACCCCTACTTTATTACATTGATTGAAAGAAGATTGTTTGTTACACTGAATAAGAAATAAAAACATCGGATGGTCGGTTAGGCGTGCGCTATTTCGGGTTTTTCTATGTTGGGTTTGTTGGATGAGGTTGGTTGGTTTTTCTTTTCGGTTGTTTACGTTTTTTGTGGTTGTTGTCCAACTCTGTGTTGTGGGTTATTGTTCTCATTTATGTGGATGTTTTGGTGGTTGACTTTCTATTTTCGTATAAAGTTTATCCTTTGCTCTTTTGCTGATTCCGTCAAGTTTCGGAATAAAATACTTGCGGTCCAAAAAAAACAGTCTAAACAAATTTCTTAGCATTTTGATACATTTTACTTGATTTAATTTCACATCCATTAGACACCTGATAACATTTTTTGGGAATAAAAGTTGATTACTTGCAACCCTAACCAGCCTCACACGACCAACCTCAAAAGACCCCCGTGTGAGGACAATATTTTTTTGTTCATTCAGCGACTGAGACTTTTTGGATGGGTCTGAAATCAAATACGAGACATGTCTTGTCAACTAAGCTTACCCGAGCTCAACCACTTCGTCCATTTACCAACTATGGTCGACCGTTTACCGGTAGGAGTCAACACTATAATTTATATTACAGGATAAGATTGTAATACATCAAAACGGTATCGTATGCAATAATTTATCCGATAAATACTTACTTATCGGATAAGACTTTTCATCCTGATTATCATTCTTATCTGATAAATGTTCACTAAACATGTTTCCTACGTTATACGTGGAGTGCAACATATGATGATATGTAACAAATGATAACAAGTTTAACCAGCATCGAATCTGTATTTTCAGAATAATTAATTTAATTACTATGATTTATTAAATTATATATTTAAACTCAAATATTATATTCTAAATCCTAATTATATCTAATCCAAACGATAAAAATATTTATATATATATTAATTTAATTTAGGAATGGATATTGGTATGATTTAAGAGGAGAAAAAGTGATGTGGAGAAGCGAGTGAGAGGCACGTGTCGTATAGTAGGCAAAGGCGTGGGAGCCAGTGAGATGTAGCACGTGTTGGGGTGAGTCGTGGCTCTTGGGGTTCACCAAGGGTGGTGTATTTTTTCAGAGACTTGGGTTACAAGGCACTACAAAGGGTCACTCACCTTTGTGTTGTGGACTCTATCCCCTCTCTCCCTACCCTACGATCCTTGTCTTTAAGAAACAAATATATGAATATTTTTTATCAAATCGTTATTAATGAGTTGGTAAATTTTCAAATGTGAGGTTGCATGCCGGTCTGTCCCACCTCATAGGTTTATTTTTTTTGAACCAGATCTAATTGGGTTCGTGTTCACTAAGGTTTGGTTTGGTTTGAAGGAATGAAATGAATTTAGGAGATTTGCATTTCAAATCCATTCCAATCACATGTTTAGTTTGTTGAATTGTCTGAATTTGAAATCCTATAATTTAATTGAAAACCTTCAACATATGATTTTGAAATTCTTAGGGAGTGCTCATGATTTCATGGGATTTCGTAAGATTGTATGCAATAAAGTTTTAAAATATGTTATAACATTTGTTTTGTAATAATTGATTAATAAAAATGTAATCCAATTATTTTTATAATAATTTATAATTTTTTCTATAAATTATTTATAATAATAAAATCCAATTTCATTTCAAATCCTACAAACCAAACACATCAATGGTTTCAAATTCATTCTAATCCAAATCCCTTCAAATCCAAATCCTTTCATGAAATCCAAATCTTTTCAAAAACAATCCTGCAAACCAAACAGACCCTAAATATTTTAATTTTGTAAAGAGTTTTATGAATTTTAAATTAAATATTATAGATTTTGACAATAAAATGAGAAGATAATGTTTTAAAAATGCAATTTGGGTTATGGAATTATCATTAAATTCATAAAATCTATTGGAAATAAACCAAATAACTCCATCATGTCCTCATCTTGCCAACACCTCACTCCTCCTCTATCACACAAACACTTTAAAAGTTTTGGGGATATTTTAACTATATATTAATGGAGATCAGACGAGAACAACGTCAAAATAAAAAAATGTAAAAAAGATTAAATCATATGTGATTTTCTATTAGAGTTATATATAATCATGAACACTGTCGCACAAGGGGTTCGTGGACGGTTTGGCTTGCGACCTACATCGCGCTAGGTCATGCAAATCACATTTGATGTTTTATTATTTGGTCATTATTCTCATTTGAAACCGAATACATACAGGTGAAATATCGTGTGAGAAGGGGAATTAATGTGAGAAACATAAGAAGGGATATGTACTCTTGATCATAAATCTCAAACTCACCTATGAATCACGTTTGATACTAGATAGATCCGGTGCATCTCATCTTTATGTGCATCTAAGGGTGGAGATCTCTTCTTATGGTTCTCATCTTAACTTTTCGTCTCATGGGACCCCTACCTTTTATATATGTATATATAATGTTGAGTTTCGGTGAGAATGAGAGTTAATGTGAGAAACGTAAGAAGAATATCCATCATTGTATTCACATTGGGATGAGATGGATCGAGATGAGATGCACAAAGATGCATCTGGTCAATTTTCGTATCAAGCGTGATTCATGATGGGTTTGAGATTAAAGATGATCAATGGTTCAGATATCTCCTTACGCTTTTCACCTTAACCTACTTTCTCACACGATCCTTCGCCTGCACACACACACACGCCTGCACACACACACACACACGCCTGCACACGCACACACACAGAGATAGAAATATATGTGGGAGGCATTATTTTGGAACCCATAAAATTTTGATATCCTTGAGAAACGGTATCATATGTTATTTCATATGATATATTTTTTCATCTACGACTTAAATTTAATGTATTAATATATATATATATATATGTATGTATGTATGTATGTATGTATGTATGTATGTATGTATGTATGTATGTATGTATGTATGTATGTATGTATGTATGTATATTTGTTTCACAATGTGAACATTATTGTGTGTTTGTGAAACAAAAAATTAAATTGAAAAGCTTCACACAATGAACCGAATACATATGAAACATCCACATTGTGAAGCAAATACATGGTAATCAACATATTAAAACTTCTAGCCTTTGATTAAAAAATAATGTAAAACACTATGTAAGATAATATTTCTCAAATTTGTCCTATCATGTGTCGTTTTCAAATGATCAAGCCTCTATCTATATTGTACACAATATTTAAAATCTGGGAAAAAAAAATTGTGAATCACAATCACCAATTTCTCCATTTTTAGCA